CTGTGTAACAACTTCTTACATTTCTTTTTGGAAAAAATTGCGACCACCCGGGCTCTCATTTCCCCTCCAACTCATGACCCATCCATCCCACCTCAATCTGTAGCTCTATTTGACCATTTTGAACCCATCACTCTATCTTCTCTAGAGCAGGTCATGTGCAACTTGAAAACTTCCGTTCCGCCTTTGATGTGGTCCCCCCTCGACTACTAAAGGAGGTTTTTCCAACTCTAGGTCCATCCATTCTGGCTATAGTAAACGGTAGTTTATCCACTGGTATGGTGCCAAAATCCTTTAAACATGCTGCCGTCCAGCCTCTCCTGAAAAAACTAAACCTTGACCCCTCAGTCGTGTCCAACTTCCGGCCTGTCTCCAAACTCCCATTTGTTTCTAAAGTACTAGAGAAAATAGTCGAGTCCCAGTTGAAGTGCTTCCTGGAGGATCACACCATCTTAGAGCTTTTCCAATCTGGCTTTAAACCTCTCCACAGCACTGAAACTGCCCTGCTGAAGGTCTTTAACAACATCTTCAGATTCACAGATACCGGTGATTCTGTGCTGCTTGTCCTGTTGGACCTCACAGCCGCCTTTGACACCATCGACCATGCGATCCTCATTGCTAGGTTGGAGCAGTGGGTGGGCGTCACAGGATCAGTCCTCAATTGGTTCAGATCTTACCTCGCTGACAGATCCTTTTGTGTCTCCATCAAGGATTTTAGTTCCGCAGAGGCAGAACTTAAATGGGGGGTTCCGCAGGGGTCCATCCTGGGTCCCCTCCTATTCTCTTTATACCTGCTGCCGCTTGGTGCTATTTTCCGGAAACACAACATGCCCTTCCACTTCTATGCCGATGACTGTCAAATTTACTTCCCCCTAAGACACAATGGTACATGCTCTATTCAACTGCTGCTCAACTGCCTGGCTGACATCAGGGACTGGATGGCTTTAAATTTCTTGAGTTTCAATGAAAAGAAGTCTGAAGTCATGTTGTTCCCTCCCAACGACACGATCACAAACCACTGTATCGACCTCTCCGCTCTAACCCTGTCAGAAAAACAAAGAGTCACTAATCTGGGCGTGATAATGGACCCTTCCCTGAAGCTTAACAATCATGTAAACATGATTGTTAAATCATGCTTCTTCCAACTGAGGCGGCTGTCTAAACTGAAGCCCATATTGTCCAAAAAGAACCTGGAGACAGTAATACATGCATTCATTACATCTAGGCTTGATTACTGCAATTCACTCCTGTTTGGTATCAGTCAGACCTCCATTGCACGACTACAACTGGTTCAGAATGCAGCAGCCCCATTTTTAACCAGTACAGGCAAAAGAGAGCACATTACACCAGTTTTGGCCTCACTGCACTGGTTACCGGTTCTCTTTCGAATCCAGTTCAAAATACTCATGTATGTCTACAAATCACTGAACAATGTCGCCCCCCCATCTCTCTGATCTGCTACAACCGTGTGTCCCACCACGCTCCCTGAGGTCAGCGGACCAGTTGCTCCTCACAGTTCCAGGAACTCGTCTTAAGCGCAGAGGTGACAGGGCCTTCTCTGTAGCAGGACCAAGACTCTGGAACGAGTTACCTCTGCTTGTC